AATAAAAAATAAATAAACCTTTTTTTCGATAACGGAGCCTCTTCAAAATATCAAATGGGATGCTTGAATACTCTTAAGGTGAGAAAATATTTTTTAAGAGTTTTATCAGATTGATGGAGAATCTTATAAATTATTTTCAATATTTAACATTGAATATTAATACCATTATACTTAAAACCATAGGATAAATTTAAAATAATATGGTATCATCCTTTGGATGGGTATGTGGGGGTGCTATAACCTTCCCCACATGTAACTAAACTCCTGAAACCTCTTCTGATTAGTAAACCCGAACCTATTTTTTTAGAGACCCTTAGTCAAGCTTAGGAGATCTTAAAGAGGATAAATTCCTTAGGTGACTAATCACACCTAGATAAAAAAGATTGGTGGTGACTCTATTCATTTGTTAAGTTTAGCTATAGATTTACAGATCTATATGTTATGACAACCTATATAAAAGATCCTAGAATTGCACAGCTACTTTAATGAGGGAATTTTCAATTACTATTGAAAAGAGATGCACAATATAACCATACTTTTCATAAAAAGCTGATTTGCTGGACAGACTCATACATTTCCATATCTCTGACAACTCTTTTAAGTTATTTTGCTTAAGGCATAGATGAACTTCTTTTGGTAAAGTAAAAATATAGTCTAGTGGTAAGTAATCTCCCTCCTTTCATTAGACTTTTTTTTACTCAATCTTCATATCATTGGGCAATTCGTATTTGGCAAAGGTGGATGAGGCACAAACCAAATGATTTGTGACCTCTATGAAAGTTTTTGTTGAAATAACTTCTAGGCGGGTTTCTATATGCAATCTTTATGCATGATTTATGAATATGCAATTAAAAAACAACAAGGAAAAAAATTGGTTAGTTTTAATATTATGAAACCAAATAAACAAATTAATTAGCACGTAAGAAGCAAATAAAATAGCATGATTCCTAAACTCTGGGTTAATTCTAAAGGGTAAAGGGAAACATGGCTCTACTTATAGGTTAGGGTTCTAAGGTTAACTATATGTGATTCAAGTTAAATCTAAAGTTTCTCAAATTGTTCTTTACATCATTGTCCATCACAGACTAGTAAGCACATCAATCATCACCTATTACAGGCTATAAATGAAAAAAATTCAATTTAAGTGAGAGTGTTTCGCTAGCCTAGGTGAAAACATGATATCTCATGAGAGCATAGGTACTTTACTCTTTCCTGAGGGACGAAGTTTGTGTGTAAAGCTTATGTTATGTAAATGCAAGTAAATGTTAGAATGTGTGATAATTAGAAATAGATAAAACATTCAAAAATTTTTTCTTAATTTTAACTTAAGCTTTGGATAACACAAGTTTATTGGCCTAACTCTAAAACTTCTCCAACAGAGTCACCAAACTGTCATGATGTATAGATCAATAAATCTATAGCTAGACATAACCGAAGGAGTCACCATCAATCTTTTATTAAGGTGTGATTGGCCACATAATTGATTCATGTCTATGAAACTAGAATTGGTTTGGAGGTACGATTACGTATGAAAAGGTTATAACATCCCCATATCACCTATCCAAAGGATGTTATCAATTTAATTTTATATTATCCAAAGCCTAAAAGACTTACTAAATAATTTAATATCGAAAATAAACCCTAAATTACCTCAATATGTTGGTAATAATTCAAGAACATCCCATCACCTCATGAGTATTCAAAGAAACTATTTATCACGCTTTGAAAAGTCTTTGTTGTCAGATTCATTTAATTTTTATAAAATCCAATTTTATGAATAAAAAAATTATTTATTTTCAAAAATATCCTCCAATATGTTGGTAAGAGTTTTTGCTAGAAATTATCCTCCAATATATTTGTAGGATTTTATGGCAATTATTTTTTTTTTTAAATTAATTTTTGTTTAAAAATTATAAGATTTTCTAATATGTTGGTAAAACCTTATCTTAAAAAAATTGCCTTCCAATATGTTGGTAATGCTTTATTGAAAACTATTTTCCTTGAAATTTATTTTTCATAAAAAAAATTAAGAAAGTTCTTCAATATGTTGGTAAAACCTTATTTTAAAAGTCAATTTGCCTTCCAACATATTAGTAAAGCATTTAGAAAATTTAAACCCTCAAATATGTTGGTAATAGTTTTTTTATTTTATTAAAAAAAATGTTTTTTATCTTTTTTTTTAAAGAAAAAAATATTTACAAATAAATAAATAAATAATAAATGACAAATAAATAATAAACAGAAATATAGATGGAAAACAAATAAATAGATAAATAAATGACTAAACATAAAAAATAAATAAATAAGAGAAAAAAATCAAAAATACTAAGAAAATAGCTCAACTTTAGTGGCTTGGGAGGTACGACTACAGGAAAGAAAGGTGGCTGGACGGCTTGTACACCGACTTGGCTCGGCTGAAGCTAAAAAGGTTGCGAGCGAATCGTGAGCTGTGGGTTAGATTGTCATGTAGATCTCTCTAGGTTGATGCTTGAACCTTGAAGAATTTCAAAAATGGCATCATTTCCTAATATTGTAAAAACCCTAAAGTTTTTTTTTTTTCCTTCAGATCTTCACCAACCCTTTCTCTTTTTTTTTTCTCTCCCCCTCTCTCTAGAAACCAATGAACACCGGTTGCCATGTTCTGGAATTTCTCATCTGAATCTTGAAACCTCATTAGAAAGTTCAAGTTTCGTCGAAAACTTCACCAGAAACTAGAAAATACCACTAGAAAAGATGAATTTTACTAAAAAATTTCATCAAAATTTAGAAATTTTCCAAAAAATTTTCAAAAAACTTACTTTAACACCCGATCTCTCTCTCAATCCTTTAGCAACAACAAATCAAACATTCCCAATTCTAAAACCTAAATATTTTTTCTACTAGAAACCTTTCTAAAATAAAAATCCCATGCTTGTACTCTCTGCTTTCTGCTGGGTATATTTTTTTGCTTATTCGTGCTCCTTTTCCATTAAATATAGGTTCATAATTATAGGGTTTAAATTATGAGAATCCTAAACTAGAAAGGTTTTAATTTTACTTCAATTCTAACGTCAACTCTGATTTTAACACAAATTTTATAATCCCAAATAAACAATTTCAAATCAACTCAACCACCCCAAACTTTTCCTATTTTTTTTCTTTTTTTTATTTTTATTTTCTAACAAAAAATGATTAAAACTCTTGACAAATTGAGGTGTCTATATAGTGTTTATTAGATCAATTGCCGCTAGCATTGCCCTTAACAACTACTATCAATCAATAGCATGAGATTAAAGTTGTCCCTTTCTAATTCTAATTCAAGAATTAGGTTTTTTAGGGTTTAATGTTGAAGCTTGTGTTTGGCCAATTTAAGATTGAATATTACATGTATTAGATTCAAACTTCAAATCTATTAAATGTTATTTCTTAAAGATAATTGTATAAACTTATTGAATTAAGCTAAATTCATTAATTGTTCAATGGAAATATGTTCTCATCATAGGCATTGAAAGGTTTTTTTAAAATTTTTTTAATTAGCAAGCCACAAAGAATTATATTAAAAAGTAGACTATATCCTGTTTTTCTTGTGATATCATTTATATTAAAAAAATTAGTATAAGAATTCTCTAATAAAATTTGGGTCATGTTTGATGTATAGGTTGATAGATATGATATTATGATAATTATTTTATATTATATTTAATTTGTATCTAATTGAAAGGGATAGGATTAATAGGAAGATTATCATCATCTTGGCATAGAATGATTTAATTCTCTCAAAGTGGAGAGAATTATTTTTAATCTATAGAATTAAACTTACATATCTTATTATACCTTTAAAAATTACATTAATAATTTAAATTGTATAAACTTTGAATAAGAATAATTTTGATTAATAAATAAATTATTATATCATAATCATTTTACACATCAAATATAAAATAAGATGATATTATTTAATTTAATTTTATTTATAATATTATTTTATCCTATCATATCATAATCTTGTGTATCAACCTTGCTTTTTAATATTAGATGAACAATATATATAAGTTTATCGCAATCTCAGGCCTCAAAGCAAGAAGATAAATTATTGCATTCCAATGGGTTAAAATATTGATATGAATTTTGTGAGTCATTGCATATTAACATTTATACAAAAAAAAATTCTTTTTCCATTCTGTTGAGCATATACAAATATAATAAGATGTCAGGCCCCAACTTATGGAGGTTTTTTCTTTTCGTTGATCGGCATTTCTATCCGATAAATCTTTTTGACCTTTCGCTTCACGAATAGTCGCTACAAATGATTTTCCTTTTTTTTTTTTTTTTTTGCTAGGAACGTTATATTGGCAAGGTCAAGCCCACTGGAATTAACATAAGTTGCTGCCCCATTAAGGATGGCATCGAGTATGGCGGATTTTGGCATTGATACAAGCCCTAATTTCATTGTATTTTTCTCTTTTTATTTGAATAACACCGGAGACGTTATCACATTTACTAGAACTAACTTAGGACTCTCTCAGATCTACGTGATTTGTGATTAACTTCCTTGATCGACTGATCTAATAGTACCCAAGGCACATTGGGTTAAGGTTTAAGTGAAGTTTAAACCTGTGAGAATATATACTACAGCACCCAAATTCATTTAAGATGTTCAGAACTTTCCTAAGCAACTATAAAACAATTCTATTTTCCTCAGAAATTTCAACATTATGAACAGAAACTCACATTTCAAACTTCTCCACTTGACAATAATTACTAATAAATTAAAAGGTACATATCATCTGGTTGATTGGCTGGCCTGAAACCAAAGCCTGTTGAAAGATCTTAACGTGAGAATGAAGTCAGTCATTAAAGATTTTCATCCAGAGAAAAAGACAAAATACCAATTAGACTTCAAGTTTATCTGTGTACAAATATAATACTATTAAATTGAAACGATAAAGGTCAGTGAACCGCCATTAACGGGTCTTCGTTCATATTTTAATGTGACTACCTTTTGCTTGGGCTCTCTCTGAATTCTATATAAGCGACCTTTTCACTGGCATTGAGGAACCACAGACAAAACTCAGTTTCAACAATGGCCACAAAAATACAAGCCATATCTTTTCTCGTCTCCATCCTAGTCCTAGCCCTGATTGGGGTCTCTCATGCCGGTGGTATCGCAATTTATTGGGGTCAAAGCGGCTCCGAGACAACCTTAAACGAAACTTGTAACTCTGGACTATACAAATTCGTAAACATTGCCTTCCTCAACAAATTCGGCAGCGGCCGAACCCCCGTGCTCAACCTTGCAGGCCACTGCAACCCAGCAAATGGTGGTTGCAGGGTTGCGAGTTCAGCCATAAGAAACTGCCAAGAGAAAGGCATCAAGGTGATGCTCTCCATCGGTGGTGGTATTGGTCAGTACTCTCTGGCTTCTAAAGACGATGCCAAGAAGGTAGCCGCTTATTTATACACCAACTTCTTGGGTGGAACATCAGCTTCGCGGCCATTAGGAAGTGCCGTGTTGGATGGTATCGACTTTGACATAGAGCTTGGCTCCACTAAATATTGGGACGATCTTGCACGCTACTTGGCCGCATATAGCAAACCGGGAAAAAAAGTATACCTATCGGCCGCTCCTCAGTGTCCGATCCCTGACAAATTCTTAGGGACTGCCCTTAGTACTGGGCTTTTTGATTATGTTTGGGTTCAGTTTTATAACAATCCCCCATGCCAATACAGTCCTGGAAACACAAGCAAGATTTTAGCTTCATGGAAGCGGTGGGCTGACATAAAGGCAATAAAAAAGTTGTTTTTAGGGTTACCGGCAGCCAAGGCGGCAGCTGGAAGTGGGTACATTCCACCTGCCGTGCTAATCTCTCAAATCCTTCCTGAGATCAAGAAATCACCAAACTATGGAGGTGTTATGCTGTGGAACAGGTACTATGACAGGGTCAATGGCTATAGTGCTGCCATTAAGACAAAGGTGTAAACTATATATGCTTATGAATAGCTAAGCAACCTTGCCAGGCTTAGTAGCCTAATAAGTCCATGAATCCAAATTAGTGGGGGCAAATTATGTGTTGAATGAATAAGTTGCTTCTGTGTTTTCTTTTTTTTCCATGAATGTGTTAATTATCTAATTATGCGCCAGTCTAGTAGTCTGTCGTAGCAGTAACAAAAGATAGTAATAAAACATGTCTTTGGAAATTGGATGCATCTCAGCATTTCATGATAGTTTCTGATTTGATTAAGCTGTGTATTTGGTATATATTTATATTTAGTTTCAAACTTAAAAAAAAAAAATTAAAAAAATAAAAAAAAAAAACCCCTAAAGCAAGCAACAGTACTTCAATATTACAGCTGCTGGGATAAAAGGAATAAATATTTCCTCCACATTTTTTTATTTATTGCAAATATGTAAAAAAGATAATTTTGCGAATGATTTTTAAATTATAAAAAAATATTAAATGTGATATTTAAATTTTAAAAATTTTTAATAAATTATTTAAATATTGAATTAAGTATATTAAAGATCACATAAGTAATATATTCATAATTTGAGTATCACTTTAAAAAAATTTTAAATTAAGTATTATATTAAATATTTCATTATAATTTATAAATCATTCATAAGCTTGTATAATAAAATTAATCAAAATCAAAGCATTGAGTAAATTTTGAAATTCCCTTACCACCTGTATATTATGTATTAATTTATCAGTTAAGCTATAAATAATAGAGAAGTGGTAATTAGTGTTTTGTGACATTAGTCATTAATGTGATATTGAAAAAAATAAATATATAATAAATGCATTATCTCTTAAATGTAAAAACTTTTATTTGAATCTGATTTTAATCCTTATCCAGTTGTGTTCAAGTGAAAAATATAATAAAAAACTCTACAACCATAAAACTATGACTTCTACCAATGATAGCAGAATCTGCTCATTCAAGAGTTCGATTTGCCATTGACCAATCAAATCTGTCAACTGATGAACTGATTCTCCTTAATACGATAAAGAGCTTTTTTGGGGACTAATGTAGAATTTGGGTAATCAGTTGAAAATAATTGGGAAAACTATTTCTTTCTTTATTTTTCTAATTGGGAAATCTATCTCGAATCCATCTTGCATTGAAGTGCCGGAAAGTAGAAAATAAAGTTGGAATTCAACGAAAATAACTTTGTTTGATAGAAAAAGACAAAACCATACAGCACCTAAATGACAAGCTAAAACACAACAAACACTAAGAACCAAAACATAAACAAATGATATTACAAACAACAACAAAAGCACTACTCAAGGCCAACTGAAACAGAAATAGAACTCTTCTGCAACATTTTTATTTGTCATCAAAACCTGAAGATTCACTAGACGAAGCCTTGTCACTGAAATAATCTTCAATTATGTCATCCCAAAAGCAAACTTCTTCATCCCCGTCACCTTGCATTCCCTCTTCATCCCCATGGCCATCTTCTTCCATGTAATCGTTTCCGTCAATAGCTACTGCTGTAGCATTTGGGTTTGGGTTTATTTTCACACCTTCCACGTTTATGATAATTTCAAGCCTCTTAGTTGCTCTTGTGAATTTGGCGGTGGTGGGTTTAGACAAGCAGGTCTTGGAATGGCATAACCTCTTCGGTTTTCTTTTGGCATGATTCACATTCGGCGACAATCACTGCACATATCGTAGCCATTGATCTTTCTAAAGACAGGCATTACTCTCCTTCAACATAGTACACAAAATGAGAGACAGCATACATGCCGGATCGATCTCCGACATAGTATGCTCCATACTCCTCATGTTGCTCGAAAGTGATCAGTTCATTGGTTGTCCACTCTTCGAATGTTTGCTTTGAATTGACGTAAGGGACTGGATCCCACAACGGACCGAAGTTATAATCATAGTCACGGAAAGGGGTAACGTTGTCAGACATGGCATAGTCTGGATGTCTGATTGTGAAAGCGGGAGGTGGAGCCCCCATTGAATTGATCTCTCTTTTACCCTGATCCTGATGAGTTCAAAATTTTAAGATAAATCACAGAAATTCAAATCAAGACAAATACTAATATATTAGCCAAAAAAATCATTTGAAACTTTTCTCAAGACAACAAAACAAATTAAAACAACTCAAAATAGAAAACTATTCTTCTATCTTTTCTCTCGTTTGAAACTAGCGGCTGCAGGTGAGTGAAGAAACGGTGAAAGACAAATGGGAAAGGTTGCAAACAACAACTAAAAACTTGGAAAAGTGGAAACTCTAAAGTACTGACCGATGAGAGATATATTAGGCGACCAAGTATTTGAGTGTTTTAAGCTTGTGGAAAAACAGGGGAAATGGAAGTGCTATTTATAGGAAGGTTGCACCATTGCATGTTAAGAACGTGTCAAAAAAGAAACTATATTCTCCACCACCATTTTTATTTATTCATTTATTTATTTATTTTTACAAATATAATCAAGGAGCGAGATTAGGTGTGGGAGATTGCATATCAAAGTCTTGTGTAAGTGTCACAGACTTAAGGAGGAGTCTTGAATCTCATATCGAATATAAAAGGAGGGTTACTGAGGTATAAAAGGGTTCACACCACCTCTTCCTTGTGAGATGCCTTTTGTAGGATAAAATCGTGAGGTCAGAGGGACCAAAGCGAATAATATCTCACAAGAGTGTGAACCGTGATAGAAAGGCTGATCTGGGACGCCGGATGAGTGGATGTCCGGGTCCTAGAGCCGTGCAGGTCGAAGTTTAAGTCTCGACCCATGACAAATGGTATCGAGCCAGCCCTAAACAATTCGATCTATGCCAAGTGTCACGGACCTAAGGGGGAGTCCTGAATCCCACATCGAACATAATAGGAAGGTCCCTGGGTATAAAAGGGTTCACACTACCTCCGCCTTATGAGGCGTCTTTTGTAGGACAAAACCGTGAGGCCAGGGGGGCCAGAGCGGACAATACCTCACAAGGGTGTGAACCGTGGCAGGTAAGCTGATCCGGGACGTCGGAAGGGTGAATGCCCGGGTCCCGGAGCCGCGCGGGTTCGGAGCTTAAGTCTCGACCCGTGACAAGTGGTATCAGAGCCAGCCCTAAACCGTTCGATCCACGCCGAGCGCCTCGGGGGAGGTAGGCAGGGTGGCCAGCCTCCGTGACGAGGGCGTCACGAGGTTGGGTGCGGGAGAATGTCACGGACCTAAGGGGGAGTCCTGAATCCCACATCGAACATAATAGGAAGGTCCCTGGGTATAAAAGGGTTCACACTACCTCCGCCTTGTGAGGCATCTTTTGTAAGAAAAAATCGTGAGGCCAGGGGGGCCAGAGCGGACAATACCTCACAAGGGTGTGAACCGTGGCAGGTAGGCTGATCCGGGACGCCGGAAGGGTAAATGCCCGGGTCCCGGAGCCGCGCGGGTTCGGAGCTTAAGTCTCGACCCGTGACACAAGCACCTCGATGGAGGTAGACAGGGTGGCCAGCTTCTGTGACGAGGGCATTACGAGGTTGGGTGGGGGAGAATGTCACAAACCTAAGGAGGAGTCCTGAATCTCACATCGAATATAAAAGAAGGGTCACTGGGGTATGACGTCTTTTGTAAGACAAAACTATGAGGTCAGAAGGGCCAAAAAGGACAATACCTCACAAGGGTGTGAACCATGGTAGGTAAGCTGATATGAGATGCCGGATGAGTGGATGCTCGAGACCCGAAGCCGCGCGGGTTCGGTGCTTAAGTCTCGACCCGTGACAAGTGGTATCAGAGCTAGCCCTAAACCGTTCGATCCACCTCAAGCATCTCGAGGGAGGTAGGCAAGGTGGCCAGCCTCCATGACGAGGGCATCACAAGGTTGAGTGGGGGAGAATGTCACAGACTTAAGGAGGAGTCCTAAATCTCACATCGAATATAAAAGGAGGGTCACTAGGGTATAAAAGAGTTCACACCACCTCTTCCTTGTAAGGTACCTTTTGTAAGATAAAATCGTGAGACCAGGTGGGCCAGAGCCGACAATACCTCACAAAGGTGTGAACCGTGACAGGAAGGCTAATCTGAGACACCGGATGAATGGATGCCCAGGTCCTGAAACCGCGCGGGTCGGAGCTTAAGTCTCGACCCGTGACACAAGAACCAACATAGTTGGAAACCAACTTAATTGTCATTATTCAATAGATGATCTCTATATGTTAACACTATATCATCTAAAATACTATATCATTGCATGAAAATGGAGATTTAATGGCTGTTTTTTAATGGCGTTTTTAAACAAATGCCACAAAGTTCCATGTTTTTATAAAGTTAGTGGCTTTTTTTATAAAACACCACTAAATTCTTATATAGCGACGTTTAGATTTAAAAACGCCACTAAAAATATTTTTTTGTGGCATTTGTTAACCTAAATGCCGCTATATACTTTGACTTTTATAAATTTTGCAATGTTTACTTGAATGCCGCTAAAAACAAATCTACAAACTAAAAAAAAAAAAACTCAAGGGGCATTTAGTTCGGGGGAATCCAAACATTTTCCCTTGAAATTTTACTGTTGGGTATTTGATTCCAACATTTGGTTCAAGGTAATCTGATTTCAAGAAAAACTAATAAATTTCCAACAGTACCTAAAGTCCCGAAATAAAAAAACACACCTCTTCGTATAGTATTCTAAGATTTCGGAGGGAAAAATAGCATTATTTTCAAATTTGACTTAACTAAAAAGTTATAAAATAGCCATTTTCATTTTGAAATGCATATCTGAAAATGAATGCAACTCAATTGTAGGTTTTCTACTAGTAAAACTTTTGGTTTATATATGGCATTTAGCATGAAAAATATCTTCAATAATCCTTTACAAAAAATTGAATGGGGTTATTAAAAGTGTTTTTGGTCTAAAACGCCTTGAATAATCCCATTCAATTTTTACGAAGAAATTATTTAAGGTGTTTTTTAAGGTTATTGAAGGCGTTACCGATCAAAAATGCATTAAATAATCTCCTTCAATTTTTATTAAAGGCGTTTATAGGCAAAAACACTTTGAATAATCCCTCAAAAAATTGCAAAGGAATATTGATGACCTTTTTGACCAAAAACGCCTTGAATAATCTTATCTAATTAAAAATTAAAAGAGATTATTGAAAGTATTTTTTGTCAAAAATGCATTGAATAACCCAATTCAATTTTTT